TGGGGAGCCTGACAAGATCCCTGGACCCCAAGAAGAGGAAGAAGAAGAAGAAAGAAGAAGAAGAAGAAGAAGAGGAAGAAGAAGAAGAAGCAGAAGAAGAAGAAGAAGAAGAAGAAGAAGAAGAAGAGAGAGAGAGAGAGCCTTGTGAAAGAAAGAGAGAGAGAGAGAGAGAGAGAGAGAAAGAGAGAGAGAGAGAGAGAAAGAGAGCGAGAAAAGAAAAGAAAAGAGCAAAAAAAATAAAAAAAGAAAAGACGCACACACACACACACCCGCGCACACAAACACCAACAAGAACAGACCGACCAAAAGGAAGGGCAGACGAGCAGCAGAGGAAAGAGAGAAGGGAAACAGGAAGGAACGGAGAAAAGAGCGCAAAGCAGAGACACAAACGGAAGGAGAGGGCAAGAAGGACCAGAAGGGGGAGCAAAGCAAGAGCAAGCAGGGGGAGAAGAGACAACAAGCCAAAGGAAGAGAGAGAGGAAACATGCCGGCACTGTCGCCCCTTGGACCAACCTTTGGAAGACTAGGACAGGTGCTCGTCGGGAATGGCAACGGTGCCCAGAACCGAAGACCGAAGCCATTAGTGCCGCCCCTGGGGTCCTGCCTAGCAAACCACCAAAGGAAGAACCGTCCAAGGACCCAGGGGGGCCATCAGTAAAATTACTGAGGGCACACACCAAATTATTGTCGGTAAAATTGTTTGTGTCCCTGTGGCAGGATGTTGGGACATTGCGATGCAAAGCTATCGAAGAAAAATAAAAATCAGGCTTGATGCACTTGACAAAGGCTACCAGAGCAGCCGTGCTAAGTGGAAATTCTCTGGTAGCACTGAGCACACCGTGGATCCCACCTCGACGAAAAGAACCACAGAGGAACTTATCCCCTGCTTGATCAATGTGATCGCGTAGCTGTGCCTTGTGCAACAAGTCAAAAAGATGCAGACAGTCATCTCGAGTAATGGTACCGGGGGGCTTTAGCAGCTCACTTGAGAACTGCTCGGCAGGGTGGTGACTCACGAGAGGTGGGTCACCCGGCACCAAGTCAACCCGACACTTATGGCTGCACTGGAAAACATGATGATTGCGCGGTGGCTGAAGGTCATCTGAGGGAGATGACACTTGTATCGCATCAGATAGTCACTCATCTCGCTTGTAGGTTTTGCACTGCAGCAAACTATGTGGTCCCAGACAAAACATGCAAACATGGGCGCCCCGCTTGCAGGCTTGACCCGCTTTCGCGAAGGAGCAGCTCTTCGCAAGGTTCCAATTCCAGCAAATCCTGGCACCCTCAGCAGTGTTGTGTTTAAGCTTGCTATCCTGCAACTCGGCAGGAGCTTTCCCACTACCTTTGGAGCCCCCGTCATTCTTAAGGTTTCCATCAGCAACCCTCTTACGGCCTCC